TAGTGACGATGAGATAGGCTAGTGCATGTGAACCATCACTATCCATGCACATATTCAGTAAAGAGAGCTAAGTTCTTAAGGACACATTTTCTGAGGAGACCAGATACTGGGTTCATTAATGCAGATTAGAAGACCATAGCAGCAGGGTTCTCTTCTTGGAGGTCTATGCATAAAATCTGCAGCAACCCTCAAATACTCCATTGGCATGAACAAATATATATATATATATATATATCTTTTGCATCTTCCATTGTTACTTGGGGTCTGTGGTTGTGTGGAAAACTCTAGTCGAATTATTCTAATATCTTATGGAGGGTTGAGTGAAGATACATCTGGAATGAAGTGACCTGGAGCATTTGCCATGTCCAATCTGAACTCAGCATGTTTCTCCTAAGTCATCTTAGCTTCCTAACATCCTTATTCTAGTGGAGGGCAACAGTACCCTTCCAACTACTCCGGGTAGTAACCTGACCTACTCCTCCTCCATGACCCTCCAGAACCAATCGGTTTTCGAGTCTTACTGGTTTTGCTTTCACACTCACTCCCTCTTCACCACTCATACACTCACCACCCTTGTCCAGGACCTCATCAGCTCTCTCTCACATGGCTAGTACAGTAGCCCCCTCCAGTGCATCCTCCAAATCAGCCTTATGCTCAGATTTGACATCAACATTGTCCTTTATGAAAATCTCTAGTGGCTCCTGATTTCCTGGAGGATAAAAGATGGATCACCTGGTCTGTTACTAGATGGCTTCCATGGTCTGGCTCATCTATCTCCATGATCTTTTTGCCTCAGTGCACTTTCTAGTCAAACTAGAACTGATTGTAAGTGTAGGAGCCTAGGGTCATAGATTTAGAGGTGGAAGAGACCTTATAGGCTGCTAAGTCCAATTCTTTCATTTTACAGATAAAGAAACTGAAGCACAGATTAAGTGACTTGTCCAGTGTCATACAGCTAATAGGTGCCTGGTGATAGTATCTTAACCTAGGCCTTCCTAGGTCCCAAGTCCAAGCATAGAACTCTCACCGCAACTCCATGTTGTATGCAATTTGTCCTGAACTGTCTTACATATGTACTTTTGTGCAGGCTAAGCCCCAAGTCTGGCATGTACCTCTATCCTTTATCATTGCCTGTTCATTTTCTTGTATTTCTTAACAGTTGACATTTGTGAAGCCCCTTAGATTTACCCAAAACTTTGCACACCTTACACTCACCCATGTATTCTTTGATCCAGTGACATTGGACCCACTGGCTCTTCCATGATAAGACACTTTCTTGGCTCCGGGCATTTCTCTGGTTGTCCCCCATGCCTAGAATGCCCTCCCTCCTCCTCACTGCCTCCTGGTCTCCTTGGCTTCCTTTCCAATGAAAATCCCACCTCCTACAGGAAGCCTCTCCCAACTCCCCTTAATGCTGGTGCCTTCCCTCTATCGATTATTTCCTTGTTTGACACAGTTGTCTGCTTGCTGTCTCACTCCATGAGACTGGGAGTTCCTTGGGACTGTATTTTACCTCTTTTTGTATCCCCAGCACTTAGGACAGTGCCTGGCACACAGCAGATGCTTAATAAATGTTTGATGACTGATTGACTGACTTTGCCTGCATTATCTCTTTTGATGCACCCTCCCCCCTCCCCTCAAACCCTGGGAGCTAAGTACTATAGGCATTTTTATCCCCACTTTGTATATGAGGAAACTTTGCAAAGGGTTTCATATCCTGTAATTATCCAGTGTCTGTCAGCATATATCTCCTACTTTGCTAATTACCATCTTCTCAAAATAATCTTTTATGACCTCACTCACCTTCACAATTTGGTTAAGAAACCATCAAATTTTAGATCTTCCCCAAGTCATTCATTTCAAAGATGAGGAAACTGAGTTCCAGGATAGGGAGGTAATTTTTCTGAGTCACAAATTGATTTGTGATAGAACCAGAACTCAGACCCTGGCCCAGGGCTCTTTCTATCATGCTAGGCTTCCTCTCATGAACTTGTTATGTAAATTCAGGAAGTTTGAACTGAAATCTATTATGAACTAATTAGAAAGTCACCATTAGTCCTTAGAAATTCTTCAAACTTCCTTGGGTTATATTTTGTATGATTACAATTAACAATTGAGCCTAATCAAACCCCGTATCACATCATTCCTTTTTAAAAAAGAAGCTGTGTCTGTTTAATCTGCTCCTCCTTCCACCCCCTACCCAGGGAAATTGGAGACAATAACTCAAGACCCAATACAGTGATTCTGTCTATATGTAGCATTAAGTGAATGGAAGTTTGGTAATTACTAAAGCATGGGGAAGAATGAAATGAGTCATTGAAATTGTTCTAGATAGACAGTTAATCCAGATGATTTAAGACAATGTTGCCTGGCCTTTCACAGTTTTCTGGATTCATTGATCAAATCAACACTTTCATTGTTGATTTGGATAAAATAACAGATAGTATGCTTGTCAGATTCACAGATGGCCCAAAGCTGAGAAGGACTGCCAGTGCATTGAATGACAGTCAGAGTTCAGAATGATCTTGGCTGCTGACAATGGTGGTTCAGATTTAATTATATAAAGTACAATGGAGACAAATGTAGGGTCTGTCACTTGGGTAACACTCCAATGGCTAGACAACATTTCAGTTGAAAAGGGACCTGGGATTTGAATGGACTACAAGCTCAATGTTGAGTCAACAATGTGACATGGCAAGTCATAAAGCCAATGCAGTCTTAGGTGGCAAGAAAAGAAACATCCCATCCACACCTAATAAGGTCATTGCTCCACAATACTTGCATCTGGCCACGCGGCATCTGGAGAATCATATCCATTGGTGGGAGCCACAGGTAAATAAGTACACTGATTAACTGTGCCACCTCTGACACATGCTGACTTTATGATGCTGGACAAATCATTTCACCTCAAGAGAAAGGGCCAACCTGTGGTGATAGAGGGAATTTCCTCATCCAGTGTAGTTCCCTATTTCAATGAATTAGCAGTTCAAAGCCTTGTCTCCTATTGATAAATTGGGCATTGTCCAGAGGAGGAGGAGCTCAAGCTCATGACATATGAGGATTGGGGGAAAATGGGGATATACAATCTAAAGAAGAGAAGGGGGAGCATGAGGGATGTCTTTAGAATATCAGTAGGACTTTCATCGGTAATGGGTATCTGTTTAACACAGAGACTGGAGAGAGAGGGACAACTTTAGGTTTGATGTAAAGCTTTCCTAAAAGTGAAAGTTCTCTGAAAGTAGAATGGATTGCCTCTGGGAAGAGAGGCTTCCTCCTCTTCCTTGGAAATCTTCTACAAAAGTGATATGACCACTTGTCATCGATGCTGGTGAGAGGACTCTTGTTCAGATCTGCATTGTCCCCAAAAACCTCAGACATCCCTGCTAAATTGGAAAGTCAGTGACTTAAGAATCCACTTGGAGAAATGGCACCCCACCCTCTTCACTTTGCATTGCCTCTATTTGTTTCACTGAGCACATGAGCAGGTAGACATCCTAAGACAAGCAGCTAGTCACCTATGGTTACACTTCTCAAATCAGGAAGGACGTCAGGGGTCACTGAAGTTTGATTGACAACTTGTAAAATAGATAACTTACCTTTGGTTAAACAAACAACCTTTCCAAAATAGGAAACATTTAATGTTGTTTTACATTCTATGATCCTGAAATTTTCAAGACACTTGTTAGGCAGGGTTTTGATAAATTGATTGACAGCATTCTACAGTCCTTTCTTTTCTTTAAAGATGTATACTTTAAATAAAGTCATTAAGTAGTGGAGAGTGATAAAAGTCTAGAATTCTGGTGGTAGATTAGTCAAACAGCTCCATCAAAGACATTCCAGAGAGAGAGAGAGAGAGAGAGAGAGAGAGAGAGAGAGAGAGAGAGAGAGAGCTGGGAAGAGTAGGACCCCTTGACATAATTTGTGGTTCAATGGAATCAAGATAAATACCATGTGTTTGTTAGCGTTTGCCTTTTCTTTTCTTTTCTTCCTTTTCTTTTTTAGTATCAGCTAATGTATATTTAATGGGATTACTTAGAAACCTTACACAGCTAACTATAAAGGGAATAGAGAAGAAACATTGGGATTCCATTCCCATTGGAATGGGAATGTTCACAGCATCATACATTTCTTTTGTTGTTAATGAGACTTAAATAACTATGTGACTTTAAAAGCATGATCTATTTGCCATACCATCAGGAGGCTTCTCTCACTCGGAGCCTAGGTTTTGATAAACTGGATGTTCAATTGAAAACAAACACTTCACACCCACTTGCCTGCAAAGTATCCATAAGGCCATTCAGATCTGATGGAGGACAGCACTGTGGCATCTTGTTAACTTGCTATAAGTTATATTGCTGACCACACTCAAAATGACATAGTGTACAGAGTTCTAGACATACTGAACAAAGAGGAACAACACATTGGATGGGATTGGAAGACACAATACTCAGAGCAGGATTCTCTCTTCCCCTTCAATCTCTCTCTCTCTCTCTCTCTCTCTCTCTCTCTCTCTTAAAAACATGTATTGAATTTAATTGTTTAGTAAAGCAAGCATTACATAATGCTTTCAATATTTTAAAATTATGGAATAAAAGTTTACATCCAAAAAGATGAATGGAAAATTGTGCTTTCAGACAGTAGTGTTAGTTATCATACAGGGTTTCCCAACTTCCAGTGTGTCTGTCTCTGGGATACTGAGGGAATGTCTCTAGATCACGTATGCATGTGCAGTTTCCATCTCGGTCCTGCCAAAGTTTAAAGCCTGTGCTTGCCTTCATGTAGCAAAGACACTCGGGGGACAGAAAGATCCAGATTTTCTGCTCAAGGCAACAGCATCCCCCCAAACCTTGGTGCTATCTCCTCAATGAGTAGGTTTGACTGAGACTCTCTGCAAAGAATGAGAGTGCCTTGGACTCCTTGGGAGGCAAACAGAGCAGAACTGGGTAGCAGACGGCCAGGAAGGGAAGGCTATTCTGGTGTGAGGTGCCATCACTGGCATGTCAGTGCCACAAGCAAATGCTGCTGCTGGAGTGACATGTGGAGCCTGCTCCAGCTGGGGAAAGGTACAGTTTGCCATTGGGACAGGCACAGAGCTCATACACAGTCTGTTGAGGAGCTGGGGAGCTTGGTGGGGCAGCTGAAAAGGAGCCCACAGGCAGATTTCCCAGACGAATGGTGTCTGCATTTAAAAAGATCTAGGAAGAAAAGAAACCATAGTTTAATGTTTCTGGACATGGCAGATCCCTTCAGAATGTTGTTCCAATGACTGACCATACTCTATAACCTTTGTCCATGTCGTTCCTGAGGTTTATTGCAAGGGATCTTCTAGACATGCTGGAGGAGGGCTTCTCTTGACAATCAAATGATACCAACTGAATTTGGCAGCTGGCTGCCAGCTACCCCTGGGTATTACCACTCCATCTTAGAACTTGAGATTCTTTTTAAAGGAGAAAGAAATCTAGGAATAGTCAGACATGTAGCTTTGATTTTTAGAAAAAGAAAGTTAAAAAAGTCCGGTGGCTGTAAATTCTAAAAGGCAGCCCAGGATCAAGAGGGAAGGAAAGCTTTCAAGAAGAAATTCTCACCAAAATCTATTTCCCAATAGATAAATGGTCAAAGGATAGAAACAAACAGCCCTCAAAAGAATTGCAATCGATTATCAGCTGTACAAAAGAATGCATCAAAATCACTAGAAATAAGAAAAATGAAAATCAAAACACCTCTGAGGTTCTTCTCATGCCCAGAAAATTGGCAAACATGAAAAAAGGTGGGAATATTCTATATTTGAGGGACTGTGGGAAGATTGGCATCCCAAGGCATTTTTGGTGGAGCTGTGAATTAGTACAACCATTATGGAACGCAAATTGGAATTACACAAATAAAGTGACTAAAATGTCCACATCCTTTGACCCATAAAATTTGCCACTAGGCATATCTCCCAAGAAGGTCATTGATAAAAAGAAAGTCCTCATATATAACAAAATATTTATAGAAGTACTTTTTTATGATAGAAAAGAATGGGAAACAAAGGATGTCCATCCATTGAGGGATGGCTAAACATTTTTGTAGTACATGAATGTAATAGAATATGACTATACTGTGAGAAACAACAAATATGATGAATGCCAAGAAGCATGTAAAAATTTACATGAACTGATGTAACGTGAAGAAAGCAGAGTCAAAAAAATTAAAGGTACACAATGACTTCAATAATGCAAAATGAAGAACATCACCTGTAAAACAATCTAAAATGAATGTTGCAAAATGACAAAGAGTGAGCACAGCCCCAAGAAGATATCGCCTTCCATTGCTTCGCAGATTTGAAAGGTTGATAGATATGGAATATTGAATATATTTTTAGTTTTTTTAATGTATGAAATAGTTGGATAATTTTTTTCTTCTTTCCCTTTTTTTTCCTTAAAAAAAAGTTATTTGTTGGGGCAGCTAGGTGGTGCAGTAGATAGAGCAGTGGCCCTGGAGTCAGGAGGACCTGAGTTCAAATCCAGCCTCAGACACATAGCACTCATTAGCTGTGTGACTCTGAGCAAGTCACTTAACCCAATTGCCTCATATAAAACAGGTTATTTGTTATATAGGACTGGTTCTCTGGAGATGGGGAATGAAAGAGATGTAGGGGGAAATTAAGGCCATGTGAAAAGCAAATGCTAACAATATCTGCCTTCTCTTAACATTACTAAGCTTGAAATGTTCACATGTTGAAAGGTCAAATTCATATCCATTGAAACTACTAGGGATGCTGTGCCTGGAGAAGGGTTGGGGGTGGGGTGGGGTGTGGAGATAGGATGGAATGCAGGATAGCTGTTTTCAAATGTGTAATGAAGCATTGTGTGGAAGAGGTATGAAATGTATTCTGCTTGACTCTGGAAAGCAGAGGTAGGGACAATTGGTGCAAGCTGTAGCGGGACAAATGTAGGCTCAAGGTAAGGAATATGACACTAACAATTAGAACTATGTGAAAGTGGAATGGGATGTTTCAGGGGGTAGCAGAGTCTCCCTAGCCAGAGGTTTTCAAGTCCACTGTGGATTAGCATTTACGGGCTGTGTTGGTTAGAGTGTTTTTGTTCAGGTATGGGTTGGATAAAGTAGCCACCGAAGTCCCTTGCAATGCTACAATTCTGTGATTCTCCCTAGGCGTCAGTTTCATTGTCTATAAAATAAGAACTTTGAACAATATCAAATCTAGGATCCCTTTAGCTCTAATTAGAATGAACCTATAATCAAAGCAAATGGAGTAGAAGCATTACATCAAGAGAGGTGGTCCTTTCTACCTGCCTTTATTTTCATCTCTAAGCATACAAATATGGCATAAGTAGACCCCCAACTGTGTCAGGGCCTGGCCCATCTATTTATATAATAAACATTTAGGAGCTATTCTAATGGGTAAAGACATTGAACCACATTCTGAAATGTGAGGCCAGATATTAAGAATAGCTCAGATTTATGTAGTTTTATGGTTTACAAAGCATTTTACAATTTGATCCTCACAACAGCCATGCAAGGTAAATACTATTATTATCCCCATTTTACAGTTGAGGAAATAATGATAATGATTATAACAATAATGATAATAATAATGATGATGATGAAGATACAGTGCTTATTATGAACCAGGCACTGTGCTAAATACTTTACAGTTATTATCTCACTTGATCTCATAACAACTCTGGGAAAAATGTATTATTATTATTATTATAACATTTTACAGATGAGGAAACTGAAGCAAACAGCAGTTAGATGACTTGCCCAGGGTTACATAGCTAGTAAGCGACTAAGGATTAATTTGAACTCCCATCACCCTGACTCCAGATCCTACTCTGGATCAAGTGGTAACATGAGTGCAATGTAGCTAAAGACAAGTGTGATCCATTAACAGAAGAATTAACTAACAGCAAATGTGGTAGAATCACGTTAGCAGCACCAGTCCAGTTGACTGAGCTGGCCTGATGGAGTCCCATGTTGAGAAACTATTATTGTACCAACACTCTGGCAATGGGCCACCTGAATACTTTGAATTATTGAATCATGTATTGAGCTCTTGGTCTGAGGACACCATTACAAGCAACCATGTGGTTTGGGCTTTATATACATCATGGGGAAATAACTGAAGTCAGTCTCTTACCAATGAGTCACTCAATATTTATGGAACTCTTATGGTAGGGTATTCACAGTGCTGTGGAAAGAGTGAGGAGTGTATAGTGATTGCAAAAGTGTCCTAGCTAATAAAAACTGTCAAGAGAGTCAATTCAGATCTTGCTGAGCCACATATCTGATTTTGGACAGGTCGTTTAACATCTCAAGGGGTTTTACCTGGGCTCTATTTTTCTTTGAATTGTGAAGGAAAAGATACCAAAAAAAATTCTAAAAGCTATTTTGATGAAAGCAGGGTACAAGTTAATAAGGCTTTCCATTTGTGATGAAAGCTTGTGATGGGAGCCAAGAAAGAGGAGTTTATCTACATGCTTCCCTAAACTCTGTCTTAACTTCTTAAGTACATCCATCCTTTACTAATGCACAATAAAAGGACTATAGAAATCTAGAAACAATTCAGGAGCCTTGCACTGCATGTGTGTTTGAGGTGGGGGTGGGGTAGGGCAGTATTGAGAGAGGAAGTACCTTATTGGAATGCTTTATTCTATCTCCTACTTAGACTCTGGAGATCTTGCCCATAGCTTTCCATCTCTATATTTGACATTGGTCAGGTCTGTATTAGAATACCAGGCCTAATTTGAATCTTCATATCTAAAACTGACTGTGGAACGAGTAGATGAGTTTTAGAGAAGAGTAAAATGAATAAGTCATGTCAATCTTTGGGCCTTCTTGGAATGTTTTGTGCTCTTAAGGCATTTGAGTTACATTTTTTCTTCTAAAAATCTCTTGATGTAATCTTCCATTCTCTTTTGCGTTACTCTAGCTTATGATGAAGAGGATCTATCCCTTGACAAAGGCCAAATCCTCTTCTAGTATGATTGTTCAGATCCCATCCTCTCTCCTTTTGTCCAGAATCATCCTTCTGACCTACTTCATTCTTTAATCACTTCCTGTTTACTAGATTATTTCTTGATGCTACAGACACACTCATTTCCCCCTTATTCAGCTTCTAGCATCCTCACCAAACTACTAGTTATTTATTTATTGTTAGTTTTTCATATCTTTATATAAGTATATATCATTTTCTCCAAAAGAATGCAATTTCTTTGAGGGCAGGCATCTCTGCCGAAAAGAAGGCTAAAGGGAGTGGGAAGGAGGTGCTACAACTCACTGGGAGTACTCAAATGCCTTTTACAGGTTGTTCTGCTTGGCCCCTGAGGGCAGAATTGGGATTGATGAGTGGAAGTGGCAAAGCAACAGAATGATATCTGACTATGGAAAAACTTTCAAACAATTAGTGCTGTCCCAAAGTAAAAGGAGGAAGCCTGGAAAGCGGAAGGATGAAAGAGAGAGAGAAGGAGAGAGAGAGAGAAAGAGAGACAGAGACAGAGAGAGAGAGAGACAGAGAGAGAGAGAGACAGAGAGACAGAGAGACAGAGACAGAGACAGAGAGACAGGGAGACAGAAAGAAAGACAGACAGGGATGTTTCAATATAGGCTTATTGTTATATCTAGGGATATTAGGCAGTTAGGTTGTTCAATGGATGGGGCACTAGGCCTAGAGTCAGGAATATCTAAGTTCAAATCAGGCCTCAGACACTTACTAGCTGTGTGACCCTGGCCAAGTCACTCAACCTCTGTTTGCCTTAATCCACTGGAGAAGGAGATGGTAAACCTCTCTGGTATCTTCTCCAAGAAAACCCCATGGACAATATTGGTGTGTTATGTTTACAGGGTCAGGGAGAGTCAGACACAACTGAATAACAACAAGAACAAGAGATATTCATCCCAAGTTTCCTCTTTACCTTTTTCCATTTTTGCAGCCTGGTCATCAAGAGCAAACACACTCAGAATGAAATAAAAATCAGATTGTCATTATCTGAAGGTGAGAACTATTACAAAAACTCGGCCAACAAAGAGAGAAGATGTAAGGGAAAGTGATGTTAGTTTACCAGGAAATGGTGGGACAAAGGAGGAGAAGAGAAATTCACCTGGTCCCAGCAGAGCAGCAAATCATGCCCCAGCAGGTCAATTGTTAAATGGGCCACAGCTGCTCATGGGGACATTGAGCTTTGGGTGGCAGCATGCTTCTCTTGCATTCAGCCAGCCAGTGACACTGGCACCCATTTGAACTCTCTGAGACCCTCCTCTCCAAGGAGCTCCAGACTTGCCCATCCCATTTGATTTCTACCTCCCCATGATCATTCAGTTCCTGCTTCCATCACTTTCCCTCAGCCCCAGAAATGATAAGAAGAAATATTTAATTTCTTCCTCTGTAAAATGGAGGTGTTAACAGCACTGACCACACAGGACTCTTATGAAGACTTATATACATATATATTTCTGAAGGCCATTAGGGTGAGCAGTAAAAATGTTCACTTTATTTTCTTGGGCACAGTTTTGCAGCTGGCAACAGGTTTCCTAGGACAGAGATTGTTCCATGCCTGTCCTTACTCACCTCCCCCTCTGTGGATTGTAAGTGAAGTTCTTTCCTGCAAGTGGCCTTGAAGTCTCCCGCAGCTGCACTCACTTGGACGCCTCTGGGTGCTTCCATGATCAAAGACCTAGTTGGAGATTCAAGCCTAGGAAATTAAAAATAAAGCAATCTTAACAAACAAACAGATAATGTGAATGAGGGGCACCCTTGGTGCAGGGGGAAGGGAGCCAGACTTGGAGTCGAGAAAGAACTGGCTTGGAATCCTGTGTCCAGCATTAACTAGGTGGGTGACCCTTAGGAAGTCCCTTGTCCTCACCCAACTTCAATTCCTTGAGCTGCTGAACAGGAACATGCTTAACACCTCCCTTTACCTCATGGATTTGTACGAATCAAATGAGATAACATGTTTAATGTGTTCTATAGATGTCAGCTATTATAATAAATAATAAAACTTTGAGGAACTTCAAGAAAGTCTCATTCCCTAATGGAAACTGGAAATAAAATGAATAGCTCTTCTCCTAATGAGAGAAGGGAGACTCTTGGCACAAATGTTTTATCAACTCTTTGAGGTTGGGAGCTGCTTTCAACATTGTTCATTGATTATTGTCAATTCTCTATCTTCCATTCCCCATTTTAGGCACCAGTCTCCTCTTTATTTCCATTCACAGCATTTCCTAAAAATAGGTCAGGGGATATTTACTTCATTCAGTAGTTTATGTGTTATCTGTATGTAGGTCAGAAATTAATTATTTCATACCTTGCCCAGAAGTATCCCCCAACACAGAATCTTTGCTTTAAAAATGGCAAATCTAGATTTAATTAAAGTCATTAACATTTGAAAATTGCTGGCTTGCAAAAATTTGTCAACTTGCAGATTTTTCAAAGTTCTCATGCTGTCTTTGTGCGCTTCTGGAAAGTAATTCAAGTGAACACAGAAGGTATTCCCTACAACTATGGTCTGTATCTAGCCCTCCCAATGAGTCTCTAAAGAAGATCTCAATTTGGAACTTCAATGATGATTAAAAGGCTGGACAATTAGACCTCTGATGAAAGATGAAAAGGACTGAAATTGTTAAGACAGGACAAATGATCAGGTTAGGGTAATTTGACAATGGCTTCAAACATATTAATGAAAAACTTGAAAGAAAGCAAGATTAGTGGAAGGAAAAAGGAAAGGAGAAAGAAAAGAGAGAACATGTGAAGAAGGAGTCAATATTCTCACTTCTAACACTCACATCTTTTTCCCCTGCATTGTGGCCTTGGACCATTTAAGTTAGGGTGACACTTGGTGACACTAAATACACTGCTAGGCCCCCTTGGTTTCCGCTCCCTGGGATCTCACAACATCTTTTGTCATTGGTCGTGCAATATCCTGGATTCTGTCTGGTAAACAATAACACCATCACCAATTGGATCCTCACAACCATGTTCCTTCTTGGCTGCCAGAGACACCTCAAATACTCAAAGGGAAAGAACTTAAGGAGCAGGATGCAGGAAATGACCTCACTTCCTTCCTTGATTGAGTATTTTGTTGATTCCACATCTAGGCATCCCCAAGAAGCTAAAGCTAGATTGACATGGTTCAGTCTTCTCTTTATTGGGTTATCTTAGGCACCCCAAATTGTGTCTAGGGTCTACTGTAATATTCCCTTGGTGTTAATTACTCCTAGCAGTAAGCGTAATTATCTGCTTGCGGATGATCCTCTAATTCATGCAGCAGTTAATTTGGACCTGCCAGACCCAACTGAAAGGAATATTTAATTAAAATGTGTCACTAGCTGAAAATGGTGTGTGTATTTAGTAATTCTAGGAAAAGCAATTCAATGACTAGAAACAAGGATAAGTGCCAATTACTTTATCAAATGGCTGGATGCAGTTTGGTTAGGCATTAAGTATGTTGCAGCTGGGCTTTATTTGAGTCAAAGAGTCCTGTGGAATACATGTCATGAAGGGAACCTGGCAACATTTCTGTAAACTTATAATGGAAATATTCAAAAATGCACTAGACAGTCCTTGATATTTTTGTTGCTTCATATTTATCACTCAGGCAGAAAACAGTCATCAAGCAACTTCCCCAACTTACCTGGAAAAGTAGAGAGTAGAGCCATTGAGTCAGTGAGTGCAGAGCAAAGTACCCATGAACCCAATGCTTTATTTGTCCACTTCACAGATGGAGAATTTCATCATCTTGGTCTTCATCAAGATGGCTAAGAGCATTCCTCTCTGACTTGTCAGTGTGTGCACACCCTTCTGTCAAGCCATTGATCTATGGGGATTATCTATGCCCAGGGCTAGTGTTTTCTTCTGGTTCCTATGGGCATTGCATTGGTGAAACACCTAGGATCTCTATCACTTCTCCTTCATTCATCATGCTGCTCTTTGTTGACATCTCTCATACTTCTTCCTGGCAAGTAATTATGGGTAATGTGTTGCAGCCTAGTGATTGCCACGGATTGTCTGTGATAGTCTTTTGAAGGGTTATTTGTGGTAGGAAGCCTTCTGAGATCATAGTGCTCCATGATGGTACGAAATCACTAGGAGAATATCACTGTGAAAAGATGGACTGGGGAGGTAGGGAGCACCTGGAGATTGTTGAGGGTGCTGTGCTGTTTCCCAGTTATGAACCAATCCACTCTCCTTTGTTTTTCAGAGAATCAGACAATCTCACATTTGAAAGGGGCTGAATTCAGGGACATTGAGTCCAATTGAGAGCTGAATGTCAGACAACTCACCAAGTCTCATCTGGCTTTTACTCGAAGCCCTCCAAAAAAGAGGGAAGGAGGAAGGCAGATGCCTGGGATATTGATAATATGGAGTGATTCCAAGGGAGGGAAATCAGAATGGTGAAGGGCCTTGCCCCATGCCATATGAAGATCATTCAAATAAACTGAAGATGTTTTTCCTGTTTCCTGGAGAAAAGAAGTAGGTGGGTACCTTCCCATCCATTCCACTTTTCAATAATGATGATTCCTGGGAAATTTTTCTTTGCATTAAGCCTAGATCTGTTTCTTTGGGACTTCCATCTAGTACTGACCTTTGGGTCAAATTTGAGTAAAACTAACTAAGTGTTTTTGAAGAAAGAGCCCTGCATATACTTAAAGATAACCATTAGGTCAAATGATTTCAGTGTCCATTCATCAGGTTCCTACTATGTGTCAGTCACTGGGGTTACAAAGGCAACAATGAGAACAACTCCTGCTCTTGAAGCTCTAACTTTTGATGGTGGGTGGGGAGGCAACAGGCACATAGATCAACCAAATGCCTAGCTGCTCATCTGTAAGCTGGTACAGTATAATACAGGACTCGGGATCAGGAGCAGCCTAACTTACAGAGGCCTGGCAGGGTCTAGGCTTGGTGCTAGACTTGCCCCTCTACCAGGCATCTCTAAGCTTGGTGGCTAGTTGCAGTCAGACCAGGGCCAGCTCCCCATCCAGCTTAGGTCTTTCTTTGGGTTCTTTTGCTTTAGGGCATTCTCTATCAATATGTATGTAGATGACTACGTTCAGATATTGTTCCTCTGGTTGGCTTAGCCATGGGGATAGGGAAGAGAATGCAGTCCTCTCCCTTTTACTCTCTCTAAAACACCCTCCCCTGTAGGAGGGAGGGGAAACAAGATGTGAATAGTTTGGACAGTTACCAGAGAGCCATTCCCCTGCTGTCCATGGATAGGAGGATGCTGGGCCTTCAGTTTTGTCTCATTAGCTATAAAACACATCGCTTTGTCCACTTGTGCTGGTGATGTACTCTACTCACCCCCTCCATCCATAGATCTAGGCTAGGGGTGGGGAACCTGTAGCCTCAAGGCTTGTGAAGTTTGGGTTTAAACAAACCATGAAAGTTTCAATTTAGTTAAAGTGCCACACTTGAGGACCTAGAGGGCTACATGTGAACTTGAGGCTGCAGGTTCCCCACACTTGAGGGGATAACTCCTTACTCCTGGGAGTCCCAGAATCAGGAAACTTCATCATCCTGACTGCTTTCTCTATCAACCATACTATTTTGCATGGTTTGCAAAATGGACCGTCAACCTCTTTGTCTCTCCCAATGGTCCTTAGTTAACTTCAAGCTCAATTCATAGGTATTTGGAAACTTGGGGTAAAAACATCTCTTCAGTTGCTATTGTTACATTCCAAGTCCCAAGTCTCCATGGCAATGCCACCAGAGAGCAAATTGAAAGTTACATCAATATAAAATGCAAACACAAAAAATGCCAAGTGAGATTTCCCGAAATCCTTCACTTGCACATTCCATGGGAGACTTTTCCTGCTTTCCCTCCTCGCCAGCATTCTTTCCCACTCTATGGATGTACTCTCTTAACCCAGGAAAATGTAAGCTCCTTGAGGACAGGGACAGCATTTTGTTTTTGTTTTTGTTACTCACTACCTGTCCTAATCTGGAAAGAATTCATGTACAATTTTAAAATACAGAAACAAATTAGACATCAGTTCAAATCCTGAGTCTTAGCTGGTTTTGCAGTGCCTTCCAAACCTGTGTTTTTATGAATATGGGCAGCCCCCAGGTGAGAACTACCCATCTGTCACAGCAGATCAGCATCTGCTAAGTAACACATGAGAGATGTGGAGGAAAGCAATGATGAAGTGACTTGTTCAGGGTCACACGGACACTGTGTGTCAAAGGCAGGATTTGAACCCAGAACTTCCTGACTTGGAGACTAGCTTTCTCTCCACTGGGCTCACACTAACTCTCTGGGCAATAAAAGATGACTAGTGACTTGTCCAGTCTCTAGCACACACTTAATAAAAGTCTAAATTGCTGAATTCAATTGAAATAAATGGTAGCAGGATTTCTGATAGATGATGTGACCCTCTTCCTGCTCTTCTTTGTTAATGACACATTGTGGATTTCATTATGTCCCAAAATAGGAAGGCCATGTTTCACTCTAAAGTGAAGAAGCCAACAATTCCACAGGCAATAACAGATGAGCCAAAAAATGCACATGGGCCAGATTAATGTGTCATTGAATGGGCAACCCATTGAATTAGTTGATCAATATGTGCATTCTGCCCTTCACTGTGTATGCACCAGGCATAAGGCCCAGGTGTGGATGGGAGGAAAAGAGCAGGGCCTATGACTTTTGGGAAATTAAGTGGCCCAAGGAGTCAGGTTGTGGTGGGTAATGTAATGTGGTGGGTAAAGGATCTCCATGTGGCCAATTGTAATAGCCTCAAGGGTGTCAATGATGAATATTCAACAGAAGGCTAGGAAGGACACTTTTGTACATGCTTGTTTGTAGGGACCGCCTTATAGAAAACACCACAGCCTCAGTCAAAGCAACAACTAGGACCTGTCCCGGGTTCAAGAGCATTTTCATAATTCCAGATGACTTCCCCTTGAGACTTGGGGTTTTGAGATGATGGATGGCTTGCTGCAATATCATGCTAAGGCCAAATATTGATTATTGTACAACATCTATACCTAGGAGTTGCTTTAATCTAGATGTCTTTTCCCTTTCTCCAAATTCCTCCATCCTTCAACCTTCTTTCCTTGGCTTATGCAGAAACACTAGAAAAAAGTAAACAACATACACCAACAAAAAAGTAAAAGAATGCTCAAAAATGTTAAAATTGAACAAAATAGCCAGCAATGTGTACTCTGTGTACAACTCCATGTTCCCTTCTGAAGATGTCCCTTGGTTCCTGGGGGCATAGATTGTGTTTCAGGTAGCAGCACTCCACCTTGTAACAAAGCTCAAGGAAAGAAATCCCTGATCATGCAGGAACCAAAACTTACTTGAGGTCTTGGGAAGGTTCTGCTCTGATATGAGGTGTTTCCACAGAGTGTCCAAACACCGCTCCTTCTGTGCCTGCAAGAATCAAGTAACACGAGAGGAATGACTGCATTGTTGTTGAAAGCAGGTGTGTTATTAGTGACAATCAAACCTCATAAAATATATGTGTAAAATCGGAATCTTCCAAAGAGATCATTTTAAAAAGCACTACCACAGGAAAAGAAAAAAAAACAAATGAAGAGAATAGAAGAAGGAGGAAGAGGAGCAGAAGAAACAAGGAAGGAATCAAGCATTTATTAAGTGCCTACTATGTGACAGGCATTGTTAAATGCTTTACAAATGTTACCTTATTTGATCATGGCACCAATCTTGGGAAGTAGGTGATGTTATTTTCCTCATTTTGTATTTGAGGAAACTAAGGCAGAGGTTAAGTGACTTGCCCAGGCTCACATCTCAGAAAATTTCTGAGGTCACATTTGAACTCAGGACTTGCTGACTCAAGTCTAGCACTCTGAGCACCTAGCTGCCTCTTAGAGGCAGGATAAGGTAAAGTAAGAGGAAGAACAGAAAAAAAAGAGAATGACAGATAGGTGTTATTGTAGAGAATAGGCAAAGGGAAATTCAGATTTCTGGGGGTTGATGTGTTTATTATTCTTTGCCTTTAAAAGATAATGATATGTATAGATATCTAGATCCGTGGTGTGTTTTCACCAATTGATCCCCCATCTTGTGGATAATAGGGAATCTCTGATCTCATCCTATCTTATCACAACTACAGAAAACTGATTTGGGTGTTCTTCCACAAATGAAGAACAGAGATAGACAATCTCACCCAGTGCCTTCTAGCCTTGATAAGTGAAGCTGCAGACTAATATATGTGCCTTGGTGCCACCGAGTGGGTAGATGATGGGGGCTGGAAGGAATCTACTCATTTCAAATAACACGTTACTTACGGCTACCATTGAGGAAGAAGCAAAGTAGTAAAAACAAACATACAAACAAAGGTCATATTTTGATGAGCATTCACTCTGAAGATGTATGGGGTTGAGAGTCATCTAACATACAGGCTAGGTGAGGTGGCAGTGGTGGTACACAATATAAATGCTGGTAGCTATGATGTTAACTGGAAGTCATTAGGGTCAAGGATATTGCGGATGGTTTGGACTCTGCTTACTGGTGAGCTTTGGGCACAGTTCACTGATTAAAAAATACATTTGATTCCATGAAATGGAAATGTTTCTGCACAAATTAAATTAATGTATCTAGTATAAGAAGGAGAGCAGCCAAATGGGGAAAAAATCTGTATCAAAGATGCAACCTGTTCCTACTAAACAGGCAGTGGAAATAGGCTGCTCACACCCAGTGAAGGAATGTCTTAGAAACAGATCCCCAACATGACCCACATGAAACACACACATATGTATATATGTACATATATATACAATACACACATGCACATATATGCATACCCACTATATATACACATGTGTGTATGTATACATATAAATTCCATTTTGGAATAGATAACAGCTATGAACAGTGTTATGAATGAAGAGTTTTCAAAAGAATTACAAACTATTCATAACTATGTATAAGAATGTTCCAAATTAATTGGACAGTTTGTGGAAAGACAGTCACACTAGTGTATTATTGATGGAGTTGTGAATCACTAGAATAATTTTGGAAAGCAACCTGGAGTTATACAAATAAAGTGAATAAAATGTCCCACACATTTTTGAATGGAGATTCCATTAATATGCTTATCTAAGGAAGCCATCCATTAAAAGAAAGTCTCTATATACATCAATATGTTTATAGCAGCACTTTTTGTGATATCAAAGAATTTAAAATAAAATTGATACCCATTAATTAGGGGGGGCTAAACAAAATGAGTTACACGAATAAAATGGGACATTACCATGCCACAAGAAATTATGAATGTGATAAATATAGGGAAGCATGCAAAGATCTACATGAATTCATGAAGAGTGAAGTAAATAGACTGAAGAAAGTAACATACACAGTAACCACAACAATGTAAATGGAGAGAACAACCACCAAAAAATTAAAGATAAATGTTACAAAATTCCAAAGAACAAGCACAACTCCAAAGAAGAAATCTGAGAAGACACTCCCACCATGGCCCCTTGAAGAGGGAAGAAGTCTACGAGTGAGCTACATTTCATGTATTTACAGATTTTTTTTGATATATTCATTAGTTATGCTGATTTTTTCTCTCCTCTCCTTTTATATGTAATGGCTCTCTGGGCAGGTGAAGGAGAAGGATAATAGGGGAAATCATGGTAATATAGAAAAACAAAAAATATCAATAAAAACTCACTTTAAAATGTTCCTATTAAGTATTCTCCTCTATACCATTAACTCAAATCAACTTAATTCCACTTTGTGGGTAGAGACATCTTTCTTGAAGATGTTGGTAATAGACTACTAAATGCTCAGACTCCACGATGAAATCAGGAGCCCAAATCTTCAACTCCTAATGAAATGCTACAGAGCTTTGAAGAGAACAAAGATCAAAGTTTGGGAATTTTTAATGGAAAGAATGACAGATTCTTTTTTCCATTGAAGATTTGATATGTCAAAATCATCATTTAAATCCAAGTTATGGGACTCTGACTCTTTTCTTAGATCCTTCTGCCTCCAAGTTAATTAATTTAATGCTGAATAACAAAATAGTTTGAGAAAGTAAGATAAGAGTACACTTGATGAATAAATGGACCATGAATTCAATTATTTTCTTGAAGGCAAACTATGCAGAAATGGATAACTGCCATTAGTGAATAAAATGGGACAACTATTATATAGCAGGATTGAGAAAAGGCTCAGCTGGATCTTGATGATGTCTTTCAATGATAATTTTAATCCATCTTTTATTTCGGTATCATAATTTCTGGTCAGATTCAGAGGCCATTAGATATGAGACAATGGTTCACTATCTTTAACTTTGGTTTGTCCTTAAATACCAAAGAAAATGACTTGAGGTGGATTTAGTACATCCAGGGTCAATGAGGTGATGCGGAGGTGGGAAAGGGGTTATAACACCTTTGTTTAGTGCTTTGCTTGCCTCTGCATATGGAGGAGGTAGGTCCTCCATGAAAGAAGGTTTTCAGTGATTGGGGATGAACTGGTTGGTTTGGATTGTTGGGGATCAGAAGCTCTCCTTTGGTACTCAACTTATTATAAAGAGTTTGGTCGTAGACTCAAGGCTTCTTTCTTGCCTTTTGAAGGCTAGAAAACAGGGCATCTGAATAATACAGAAAATAAATGGAAAGATACAGATATGTGTAGACTACTAGACTTTGAATAGAAGACCCAAAGTAGACCATGGCAATAGGTCAAGGATTCTCTGTCAGGCAGCCAGTGGTTCCTAGCATTGTACTTATGCAATGTGTATCATGAGATTCCTACGTCAAAGGAACGTAAAGAGCAGACTGCTTCCATCCATTCTGTTAGATTTTGCCAGTTTGAATGTATGCACCAAGGTATCTCAGGGGCACCTACTACTTTCCAATGACTGACAGAGAATAATAATAATGACTTTCATTTATAAAGCACTTTAAAGTTGGCAAAGTATTTTATAAATATTAATTCCTTTGATGCTTACCACAACACTGAGAGGTGGATACTATTATTATCCCCATTTTACAGATGAAGAAACTGAGGTAAACAGAAGATAAGTGACTTGCTCAGGGTCACACAAACAGTTAAGCATCCAAAACAGATTTTATCTCAGGTCTTTTTGACTAAAGGTCTGGCACTCTATTCACTATGCCACCTAACTGCCCCAAGTAGGTAGATTGACCAGAGGAAAATGACCTGAAGCTTTAAATTGATAGATTAGTTAGGTAACCAGTCAACAAGCATTTATTAATGGCTTACTATGTCCCAGGCACTGTCCCAGGTTGGCAGAGCTTCTGCTAAGTATGTGGGTCACATTACATCTCAATAAGGTGTGAACCCTGTCCCCAGGAAGGGGAAACACTCCTGTCTTGGCCAGATCCACAAAATCTGAGGGTTTTCCTAACATTTAGTGGTTATCAGCCCAGATTTGTTAAGACCTACATTGATACTGCTAAAGCATCTAATTGCCCCCTGTTTGTGCTCACATGATGGAAGGGAACCCAAAGAAGCAGGGCAAGAAATCTCATTTTTTTCATAAATCCCACAAGTTTCTCGGAGAGTGATGGATGGATAGGAACAAGCTTATAAAAACTTGGTGAGTAACCTTGTATGTCCCCAGTATTGGCTGATATAAACTCAAGGAATCCTTTTGCCCTGCCTGGCAGGCTTGAGATCAGTCCTGGGCCAACAGAGTTCTGGTCACCAGGAAGTTGCTGCATGTGCCAGCATAGGGCTGAGAGACATTCACTATCCTAAACTGAAATGGCAGTTGCAGTTTGAAGCTTTGAAGTAGCTCATGCTGAACTGGTCACAGGCCACATGATTGATTAGACAGAGTGTTGAATTTGATGTCAAGAAGACTTGGGGTCATCCTATTTCTCTCCTGACCTTTGTAGTGAAGTCCTTGAAAAGGCCATTTACAATGATGCCCTTCTTCCTCTCTTCTCTTACTCCCTAACAACCCAGCCTCCAACTGCATCATTCCACAGATACTGCTCTCTCCAAAGTTACTAATGATCTCTTAGTTGTCATATCTGATGGCCTTTTCTCTATTCTCATTCTCTTGACCTCTCTGCAGCCTTTGACATGGTCCATCACTCTCTCCTTGATGCTCTCTTCTCTCTAGGTTTTCAGGACACCCTCTCTTCTGGTTCTCCCCCTCCCTCTCTGACCACTTCTTCTCTGTCTCCTTTGCTTGATCTTTGTGTGATCTTCCAGACCACACTTTCTTATCATAAGTGTCCTACAGGGTTCTATCCTGAGTCCTCTTCTCTTCTTCATCTCTAGTACTTTACATCAGCTTCAATGTATTTGATTACCATCTCTTTGATGATGATTCACAGATCTACCTCTCTTGCTTCAACTTCTCTGCTGACTTCTAATCTTGTATCTCTTATGCATTTCTTGATTATTAACTTTGTGTTAGGGTTGGG